CGGACCGGCGCGCCGCCTCCCACTCCCGGCCCGGGCCCATTCATAAAACCCAAAGGCATTGCCCGGGCCTGGCAGGCTTGGACTCCTAATTGCAAACTCATTAAGGAGTTTGCATCTCATTTGCATGGAAATCATTTCCTGGGCCCTCAACAGAGAACTGTCCTCTCTATCCATCAAGCATCCTGTGCTCAGTTCGACCCTTCTACAGACCAAGGGACAGAAAGGGGTCTGTCTCTTGGCCAGTGCCCCTTCCCCATCCTGCCCATTTGGGAGTCCGGGGAAAGGGGGTGGTTGGCAGAGCACCCACCAGCAAGGAATCCTGCCTTCGCCCCAGGTGATCTGGCTCTGTCCCAGTGGGCCCAAGTGAGGGAGGTGCTCGCCAAGTCATTTGCCCCCCGGCTTGGCCATGCCCAGGGAAGGGAGGAGGCGGTAGGCATTGGTACGAAGCAGCTGGTCGTACCTGGCAAGACTAGGGCTGGTGGGTGAAGCTGTTCGTGCCCAGCCTCACGTACCTCCCTGCTACAGGCTATGCCCCCACCCCCACATCCCTTAACCCACAGAACAAGCGCTTAGTGACTCCAGACACAGACACCCAGTCACAACGCACAAAGGCACCCACAACTGGGCCAGCCAGCCGTCATGACCACCATCCTGGCAGCCACTCTTGATGGCAGACAAATCCTTCACAAGCCATTTTGTCCAGGGTTAGGAGAAAGAGTCTTATCCTGAGGAAGTGGGCCCAAGGGAGGGGGTCCCTTATGTACCTAAGACATGACCTTCTTTGTTACAATGCCTTTCAGAAGTCCCCAAGTGCTGGCTCTTGCAGAAGGACCTACCCAGGCAGTATGGACTCTCAACGATGGTACCCTTAGACTCGATCAGAGCTGGTCTCTGTCCTAGTCCTTCATGTATATAGTTGAGAGGGTGCTTCCAATGTGCCCTGTGTGGGGAAGGAGTATGCTTAACTGTTGAAATGAAATAGAACTGTCTAAAGTCCATGAAATCTGGTTTAGTCTAGAACACAGAATCCTGGTTCTGTATCGCCAGCAACAAAAATGAGATCACTTGTTCAGCATTTGGAATGTAAAATAAGAGCCAGCTCTTGTTCGGATCACCCCCTCCCATCTGACTCCCAACCCCTCACCCCAAAATGCAGCCCTGCTCTCACTTCCCACCTGAGCACCTGAGGTTTCTCCCTCTGGTTGCCAAGAGACAAAAGGTGGGCAAGGCAGCCGACCTAAGTAAGACTGAACTGCCCCTACCTCCCAGCCACTGCAGCATTTAGGTTTCCCGTAGAAAACGTTTGCCTGCACAATACAGGGACACTGGAAGAAAGTACTAGAACACCCCTGCATTTTCTAATATTGAATCTCACCCCTATTTTCATTTAGCATGAGTATATTACCCAAAAAAGCAATGTACAAATATTTAAGTTACTGGCCATGGTGGCATACACTTTGATCCCAGCGCTCAGGAGGCAGAGGCAGGTGGATCTCTGAGTTTGAGGCCAGCCTGGTCTCCAGAACGAGTTCCAGGATAGCCAGGACTACACAGAGAAAACTCTGTCTCAAAAAAACAAACAAAAACTTCAGTTGCAAGTATGCATGAAACTTTTTTTTTAATTGCTAGGACATGAAACTCAAAAATACCTTGAGAGGTCACTGTTTGAAACTTCAGGTGGAGTGACATGAGGGTGGCTTGTCTAGTCCATCTTCATATATGGCCTGGAAAGGAACAGGTGTTGGGGACAGAGTGGAGAGGGAACAAAGTCCATCTGTAGAAGTGACAGGTGAAGAAACTGAAATGACCCTGAGGTGGAGAGATTACTCAAAGGAGGGCGTGGGCGGGAGAGTCTCCCACATGCCCTGTGTCTACAACCTGCCTATGCGTGACTCCTGGCACCCCCAAACCCACTCCAAGAAGCACAAACACTCTTCCACTTGCTGGGCTCATTATGGGTACCTCAAGAGCATAGCTATAAAGAATGTCACCGGCCATATCACTCCCAACCTTCAGGAAGCCTAGTTCAACTTGACATCCTAGAAAATGCCAGAAATCCACCTGTTGTGGGAAAAGACTCTGACTCCAGTCCTCCTTTAAGTGAGTGACAGGTCCAGTTCTCTGTTTTCTCACTTGTAATATGGGACCAACCCCCATGCCTATTCACAGCATTGCTGTGGATACTGGCTGACCTAGTGTGTACAGGACCTGGCACACGGGGATTAGGGGTCATCCTGGAAGAGCCTTGCCTCTGTGTGCAGCAGGTACCGTATAACCAACCTGTGTCTACCCAGGGAAAGAGAAGGAAACTTTGCAAACTGTTTCGCTCTTAGCCAGGTCATCTGGGTCCTGGGAAAGTGAGTCACTGCAGACATCTTCCTGCAGCAACTGCCTGCCCAGCCCAGTGGACTATGCCACTGCTCCAAACCATCATCTCCCTAGAGGGAGAGAGAGCTCCAGCCAGGAGCCCCTACTGTATAGCTCACTTCAAGTATGAGTTGAGGCTGACACCTAGTGGACATTTCTAAAACTGCAGGGCCCTCCGGCAAGTCCAGTTGGCCAGGAGCCTCCTCCTTGTTCCAAAACTTCAGCTCCTTCAGCTAGAGGGAATGCACTACGGCCCCTGCTGTTATAGTCCCTATCCCAGACAAGAAGCAAAACTAGTTAACCTTCCCCCGTGCTTACTTCTTGCCAACTCGTTGGGGGAATGGACGGCACAGAGAGGCAAGCGACACACCAAACGTCACATGGCTGCTCAACACACAGATGGAATAAGTAGAGATCACACTCAACAAACAGGACACCAGACAAGAAGACGCCAGGAGACAGAGGCGGGCAAGAGGACCTGCCTCGGGCTTAGAAACTTCAAGTTCCAGCTCGGGGTGACCTGCCTCACAGTCTGCCGTTCACCGAGCCTGTCTCTTCAACTGTGCCACAGGATGATCTACCATCTAGTTGGTCGTCTGTGCCATCCCTGTGCAGGGTTTCTGAGCAGTCATGCTTGCCCAGTCTTAAGAGGGAAATGGAAATCAGAAGGGGTAGGGCTGAGGCAGGGTTATCGTTCCGAATCTTTGTCAATGATTCTCAGTACAGCCAGCCTCAGAGCACTGCCCTTCAGATGACAGCGCCCCAAGCATCTGCCTGACCCTAGGCCTCTCCAGAGAAACCATTTAACCTGTTGGCCCAGACTCATAGGATAAGTGGTCTCCCCTTCTCCAGGGGTCCCAGAGGGACACCAGCCAGACCTTTCTAGAGGTGCCATGGCAAGCTTGAGCCTCCTTAGTCTCTGACCTTAGGTCTAGCCTCTGGAGCGGGGGAGGGAAGGCCACAAGGAGCTTAACCTCAACAGGATGAAGGCGCCATAATTAGGGTCAGGCGGTTGGCTCAGCCTGCGGAAATCCCCTGCTTAGTAGGGATGGGGGCCTCAACCTGGGGGAGGGGGTCAGAGCAGAAGTGAAGGGGCAAAGGAGGCCAGGCATGCAGAGATCCAAGGCTTAGGCCCCAGCCATCCCTGAAAGAGCCCATCAGAGACACCTGCACATAGCCCCTCCCTCTCCCAAGCAGCAACTCTCATGGAAGAAGGGTGGCTCAGACTGCCCAGCCCCACCACAGAGGTCCCCATGCTGTTTCAGGCTGGGGTGCACCAGTGTCATCCCAGCCAGTGCCTTTGGCAGGAGGAAGGGAGCCATGTGAGAAAAGCTGGCCCCTGCATTCCCAGGGCAGCCCAGGCCGGCTCTGTTTGTAACCCTAGCAAGGATCACTTTCCACTGTGGAATGTAACACCCAGGAGATGAAACAGCACAAAGCAGAGCAGGGACCTTGATGGGGGTGTCCCCCAGCTCCTCCAAAGGCTGTGAACTGCAGAAAAAGGCTCTTGCTTCCCCAAATCTGTCTGTGTCTATTGTTGGGGTACAACCTGGCCTAAGGTCTCAGGCTGGCTTGGCCAGGTGTCCCCAGAACATCCCCACCTGGAGCCCCCAGACAGGTAGCCAGCCTGTGCCATCATCCAGTAGAGGCCCAGCATAAGAAGTGACTAAGGCCATGGGCAGTGGAAACCCACATGGTACTAGAATGAGGATCTCAGTAGATTGGGGGATGCACCGCCACCACCCCCGCACTGCCTCTGGGACAGGATCACAGTGGCCTGCGCCCCACAGCTGCACGTGCAGACACACACACACACAGGCACGTGCACACACTCCAGGGCATGAGTCTCCGCACGTCTCAGGAGCTGAGAATCCCAGCCCCTTCACTCCCCTCTGATAACGTAAGTTTCCAGGAGGGCAGACACGCCGCCTTCAGGCTGGCCATGTCAGGCATGTGCCAGGCCAGCTGCCAAGGCCCAGAGCTGCAGGCTTTCTGGGCCCTAGAGGATGTCCTGCTCCATGGGTTACCCTGCTCAGTCTCAGGTATGGGACGCCTCAGAGGTTTCCGTGCTGCAGGGTAGGGTCTGCAGAGGACAACACTAGCTTTGTGTAGCAACAGCCACTGCTGGCATCCCAGGGACACTGGGGACACTGCAGGAAGGTAGAGTAGTGAGGCTGGGACAGGGAAGGACTTGGGTGAGCAAGGAAAAGTGGAGGATACTTGCCTGTTTGTGCTTTGGGTTAGAGAAGTGTGGAGAAGATCTAGCCAAAAGACGTTAGGACTCCCTAAAAGGGAAGAGGACATGAGGACTCTAGCGAGCAGCACTGTGTGAGTTCGGATCTCTGCACTGCTGCTGCTTCGGAGCAGGTGACTTGGTGAGTTGGCTTGGTGGCTGGTGCTCATCGGGCCACACCCCGACACACACCCAGTGTCATTTGCAAGTAGGAAACATAGGGAGGTCCTGGGTGGGAAGGGTTC